ATTTTAGGTATTTTCTAGTAATTTTGCGGCTGTTATAATGCTACTATTGAATTATCGAAGCGGCTCTTATTAATTTTAAGTGAAATGAACCTTAATAGATATTAGATGGCATTTGCTTACTAAGTAAGAATGCTTAAGAGTAACGACAATGAAGGGAAACTCGAAAAAGTGTTTTGTCCCATATCCATTAGATAATTACATACACATAGATTCCAAACTAAATAGCTTATGTAATATAGAAAGAAACAACAAAGACAACACAAAACTTATGAATTTTTTTTTCTACTTCAACTAGACCAGGAATCGAAAGGGGACCTCAAATTCCGTACTCCTATTTCTGCGCAATTATCGTAGAAACGGGTCTAATATGTCTGATTCACGCATCACAATTCATCAACTATAGACAAACCTAACCTGCTGCGTCTGCCTAGTTTCTGTCATCTGAAAATGAAAATAAAAAAAGAGCATGTATATTTTTATGCAGCTTTTTCCAGACTACACGTTATAAAACAATAAAAGTTTTGACGTATAATTTATTTAATTTTTGAGCAAACCGACTGAATCATTGAAGATTAATTGAATTCGTAAGATATCATTCTATCTAGGAACTTCCTACGAAATAAATAGCTATTATGTTTTACATAACATATTGATTATGTTGTAAGTACCATATGAATACTAGGTCAATAAGAGTACGAGGGAAATTATGTTCAGTAATCATGAGTAATATAATTATAACATAAATAGTATATTGTAAATTCTCAATTTTGGTTCAAATTTGCTTCCAAATGCACTTTAATACTTATGCATGTAACGTACGCATTGACGTTGAGTGCATTTTAATTACATACAATGCCTACTTATTCTAAGCCATAGTAACGTGGTAGGTCTGCTGAAACCAAAATGATGCGAATAAATTATCTCTTTGTATCTTTTATGTTATAAGATATGATTTTATAATAAAATGAAGTTACTTTTAATTTAGAATCATCATCTATTCTATCTGTTCTTTTGAGTATCCTGTCGTAGATTTACTAACCAATGACAGCATGCAACATTCACAAGTGCTTGTAACAGCCTAGACTGTATAAACGATATTGAATTTGTATTTGTTTACTAGCTTACCTGTATCTGTGAGTCTACGCAATACGCACATCGTGAAAGTGAATTGTAACACAGTCTTAACATTCCCACATCACTGACGAAAGCTGGGGTCAGCGGGTACAGGAAACGTTGCAATGGTTACCGATTCGTAAATAGGTTCTGCTAATTTTCTTGGTACCTCGATCGCCTCTTAGAAAGTGAATTATGCATACAGTTAAAAAGAGGAAATAGGAAGTAAACCGTGGATAGGTTTCGATGTTGTATAAACACTTTCGGAATACCACATTAATAAATTTTAGTTAGGTTACATACTTACATTTAAACATAATGTGAGACGGGTGCCTATAAAAGATACCATAGGTGTCTGTACTAATATGTCACCAGGCCCATAAAGTAATGTTGTTATCAAAAAGAATGTTATATAAATCAGGAAGGTACTCTTTTATTTAGATACATTTGGAAATTATTCAGATTATTTCTGTATCTTAAATAAATTCTGCATACTGTTTGACTTTATATGAGTAGTGATAACGAGAAGTGTGTAATATAATTGCCAATATAATTACGATAACTGTTTTGACGTGCATATATTTATATATAACATAATAATAAAAAAAGATTACTTGTAAATTAAATAAAAATAATCATAAAGAAGCCTACAAATAGATATAGCCCTGCGCGATGGCTTGGAATCGGATGTTCAGGTCATATCTGAAGACAACTAGGTGATAGTATCGTACTAATATTATAAATGCGAGAATTTGTGAGGGTGCATGTATGTTTTTTTAGTCCCTTGCAAAACCACTTCATTCGCATATCCAACCAAAACCACTTACTTGCATGTATATTGATAATGCGACCGACGTATCAGAATTGAAGTCCTACATTATAATTGGTCTTCAAAGGCGATAGTTATCTTCAAAAAAGTAAGGGGTCTGTTTGATTATATATAGATCACCTACCTACATAATAATCCACAGATAGACCCAGACCTAGTCCTACGCCTTGGGATCTGAAGACCACAAGGTAATATTATCCTAGAAATATTATAAATGTGAAATTTAAGGTTGTGTCTAGGTTTAATACTCTTTCTAAAACTACCGATCGATTTAAGACTTTTCAACTCCAAATCTAGACCAACCTATAGGCTACTTTTCAGTTTCCTAAGGAAACTGTATCCCACTAAACAGTGTCCATGTTTTAAATATGAATATAAGTTTACGTACCCTATTTATATTTTAAGTTTCTGCGCTGATTGTACACAATAAGCAGTAATCTCTAAGTAATATGGGGTGTGGCGAATCTTTATTTGTGTAGAGCAGATCTAACAATTCTGACGAACATCGAATCGTGGATATTGATAGGCGCGTGATACTTGAATCATACTGACTGACGACAATTGCCGCGTTTCAAATAATTTTGCCACTTGCATAGTTACATCCACAAATACTTCCGATGAACCACATCAGATATATCTTTCTGTGCTTTCGTGCCGTTTCTTTATTTATTTATTAAAAAAGGTTCACACAACAGTTTACAATCGCATAAAGAAGAAAAACAAAACTTGTATAAAGATAAGAGCGCGACTGCACCCCAAAGGGTTGTACGCAACATTATATTTAAAAAAGCGTAAACATCCAGTATATATTGATTCACAAATAGTACATATAGATCAATAGAACTATACACAAAGCAGAAAGTATATAACAACAATATATTTATAGGTTCTTTAACAATATTTTTATAGGTTTACAATACAAATAGTCTCTGCTTACGGTTTCGTGAGAGCAGTTTAATGTTGAAGTTTAAATACTTTAGTAAGTTAGGGAATTCAAGCCTAGAGTTTATAATTTTAAACAAATGCAGAAGATCCTGCTATTTTCTACGGATATCTAAAGCAACTTTAAAATGATCCATTATTCCAGCATAAGATGTTAAGCTTCTACCAAGACAACATTTATAAGATAAGATTTTCATGAACTTTTTCTGTAATAGGTTGGCACTAACACTTGTGTCGTGGGAGATAAGCCATTCACAAATGCTTGTTCAATTTCATGTCTATGTAGGTATCTCTAAAAGTGGGTCACGTGCAATTAGATGGGAATATTGTAACATTGACTGGCCCTTACACTTTACATAGGTACGTTTTGATATCATTTAATACGACAGGGCTGGGCGAACTTTGGTGCGTGCTTTTGTGTCTTGTAACCATTGTATTTTGTAATCATTTTGTGTCATCCTTTATAAAGGACATACAACAAAATATGTCAATTATCGTAGCTCATTTGTAAAATCTCCAAACCCTAAAAATTAAAAATTAATGTGTTCAAGAATATATAAAACATTATGTTGTTAATTAATATACTATATTTGATCAAGTTTGTATTCACTATACTAGTAGCTCGGTGGCGTAGTGGATTAGCGCCGCGGCCCGCGATCGTAGTCGTTAAGCAACTTTCGCAAGGGTCGGTCACGGGATGGGTGACCAAAAAAGTATTGTCTCGAGCTACTCCGTGCTTCGGAAGGCACGTTAAGCCGTTGGTCCCGGCTGCATTTGCAGTCGTTAATACCCTCCAATCCGCATTGGGTCAGCGTGGAGGGTCATGGCCCATCCTCCTTAACCATCCATAAGGAAGGCGTGAGCCCCTGCAGTGGGGACGTAAAAGGGCTGATGATGATGATGATAGATGCTATACTGGAAAGTATTCTAAATACATGAATCCGAGCAGTCGCCCGGATTGCGAAAGGCCGTGGGTTCGAATCCCAACTCAGACTACCACGGGCGAAGTGGATTTTTAAGCATTTTTTATTAAAATGAAAATATCTTTATTCAAGTAGGCTATTACAAGCACTTTTGAATCGTCCAAAAAAATTTTTGCCCCTACCACTTGTTCAGGACGTCTTTTTATTAAGAATAGTATGTTGTTAACTTTAATTATGAAATATATGAGCCTCATAGAAAATAAATATTTTTATGACATGCAATTCCTTAGATTTCCACCCGTGCTTAAATTATTCAATGGTTTTCTCCTGTATCGAATGACGTCCTGATAAAATGCCGTTAGGCCTACAAATTCACTTTATAGAAACCTGGACACTAATTATAAAGTTTTATGTTGTAAAGAATTGTTATACTTGGAGATAATATTGTTATTGTTTCGAGTCATGCGACATACACACCACCTAAATAATAACACGAATTGGTAGGTGTTAGAAACACAGATGTAGCCAGAACCAACGTCTTAACGTGCCTTTCGAAGCACGGGAGAAACTCGAGATAGTAAATTTTCGGTCACACATCCCAAGACCGGCACTTAAAAATTCGCGCTGAGATATTTCTCCATCGAACTCGTCAATAGAGTATGTAATCAGCTACATATTAATTAATGGATTTAGATAAACTTCTCCTTATATTAGAAATGATGAAATGTTAAGTGAAATTGACAGTATATTAACATATATCTACTAACCCAATTAATTAGATACAACTTTTTATTATCAAACGAATTTGATAATAAATATTCCGGAGATTTCCCTGTCGGAACTACCATTGACAATGATGAATGGGCTGTCGTGTTACTTATCAAGAAACTTATTGATGTTAACACACATGATAGCAAAGCCAAATATTTCTCAATTGAAAGACTTTAATTAGACGACTTAAAGAATATTATCCCTTGCAATTAAATTACTAACTGTGCCATCTTAAGAGTTCCCTGTAGTTTCTCTGTTGATATTTCGAACTTTCACTGGATTAGAGTGTCGTTATCTGTTATTGTACATTTAATTCTAGATTTATGTGTTAAACTAAATTATAAACTGTTGCTGTTGAAACTCAATTACCTTCTGATAGACTTTGAAGTTATGCTAAGTGATTAAACTGGTGTAGCTTGTAAATGCGTCAACATGGTCCTGTAAGTTTCACAGATAAATGATGTTTATGGTCAGAACCAGATTAAAAGATTTGTGTTTGATAGCTTGTGCTGTGCTTTCGTAGTAAGATACGAAGATACGTCTAAGAGAATTTGAATACTTTATTTGGCATTGGATGATCACTTAGAAGTATTTTTCGAAAAAGTTTAAAGAGTTGTTGCGTTTTAGATGTAATATTGAATATTGATAACACAATATTTATAAATAAAATTCGTCTGCACTTATTACCTTACGATACCATGGTGGTATTCAATTGTTTTTATTATTATAGGGCTCACTCTTATTTTTAATCTGGCATAAGATTATGAATAAGATCTATGACGTGATAAGCTTGTGCAAAAGGAACTGATTTACTCCTGCCTTAAGTAATATCTTGAATATAGACGACTGGAATGTACAGTAAAAGATGACGGAGAATGCCTAAGTTTGGGATATTTACCAAATTATGATGATATACCGTTTTATCTTGAGATTGCCGATGATTTAAAGGCGAAGGTGGAATGAGTTCATGTAGCCTTTGAACACACTTCTCGTGATTTAGCCCATATAAGACAGACAGTCAACTATATGCCAATGGATCATACTGTGAAACTTGGAGTCTCACGGCCATGCGTTCCACTGATTTGCTAGCTTGGTTTAATATTTAAATGCTTCAATCGTCGTTTGAATTTGGTGCTGACAGTATCATATCTGATACTACAATAATAACTACTCCCTGTGATCTAAGCCTCGCCTTACCGTTCATATAAAAACAGCATACCGGAGCAACATAAATCATTTTCTAGGTCAGGCGAGTGGCTGTCATCGTGTCTCGGCTTTCTTAAGGCGTTTTAATTAAAATACCGCCATCTAGCGATTTTTTTACAGATATGGTTTTATATGTTTATTAGGTACTTGTACCTTTTTAATGTAACTGGCGATATTTCAAAGGAACAGTTTGAAAAAATAAAAGAAATAATTTGTTTATGTATGAATTCGTAAGTTACAAATATTTTTAAAATTATTCCCACAAGAATTGAATGATATTTTGATATAAATGACCAGCTTTATATTTTGAATCACGTGTCTATGTTATTTTCATATGTTTTCTTAAACTTTCATGATGAACATTAGATTAATACTCACTTAAGGGCATTTGATGATGTTTGTTCAGTTTCTCCGTCATCATCGTTCTTGCAGCAGCGCGAAATATCGGAGCTTCAATAAATATAAGGTGCATGGTAGAAATATCGTAAATAGCTATCACTCTTTATTATCTCCGATCGGGGATGGAAATTGAATATCGAATACCTACCAAACAAAATTTTAATATGGGAAACGAACTCGAACATTAGTTTTCTTTCAATTATAGAATATCGTCACGAACGGGCTCAGACAGTAATTTATTTCATATCTACAAAATTCCCACAATAATTTCCATGGCATTTACAATATCACCAGCTAAACAATAACGGCGGATTTGTTTATACATTCAACTATTCTGGGCCACCTAGTGAATAGGCCAGTATATCATCGCGGTGGCAAGCTTTTCACCAGCTGATTTAGTTGCCAAGATTGGCCTATATTCTGTGAAATGTAAGGCTATAATTTGAGTGACAGCGTGGAGGAAAGCCACAACGGAAGTTGATATGAAACCATGATGTACACACGGCAAGACCTGGTACATTACATGGGATTTTGTTTCATTATTTTCATTTAGAAATTTTAATCTTTAGTCCAATATTTTAATCCTTAAAACCATATTTTGGATATAACCTGAAATTCACAGTGCTCTAATATACTCTACGACATTATTATACATTAGTAGCTCGCATTTGCAGTCGTTAATACCCTCCAATCCGCATTGGGCCAGCGTGGAGGGTCATGGCCCATCCTCCTTAACCATCCATAAGGAAGGCCTGAGCCCCTGCAGTGGGGACGTAAAAGGGCTGGTGATGATGATGATATAAAAAAAAAAATTAGACAACAGCCCGAGATAATATAGAGAAGTTTGTTTTCTATATTGAACTGACCAGGATACAACTCGGAATCTCAGAGATAGCAACACCTTGAATTCGGCGTACGAGCAACATATGCAAGTCACAGTACACCTATGAGAGTCAATTTTAAAAGTCGGGTAGTTGTTCCGTTATAAGAGAGTATGTGTGTCTCATATTTTTTTAATGCATACCCTCTTATTTTGTTTGAATGCTCTCAAAACATTTAAAAATAAAGTTTGAGGAAGTTAGGATCATGGCAACCCGTGCCGACTTGCATCGATACAATCGTGTCTGTACTTGTACGATGTACGATGGCGATACGGAAATCTCGCACTGATTGCATGTTATTACTTGTTTGTTTTATTAGTAATCGCATTATTATTGAATAGTCAATATGTCTGTAGAGTTACGGAGTTCCAAAAAGGAGATTTTTTTAATAGGCGACATAAAATATCAAATCACCGGATCGAAACTTCCCTCTAATGGACAAGTACTGGCAGTTCTGTTCTATAATATTCGTGAAGTGAATTTAAGTATCAATGAAAGTGCAAATCTTACTATTCGTGAGTGCATTATTTATTGGAAAAAGGCACGTATACCGACTAAATCATTACCTAATTGTGTTAAGAAACTAGTTTCATTATACCAAATTTGGAGAGATTTGCAAAAAAATTCGAAAAAAACACAAGATGTATTTAAACAGCGTCGACAAGAATTTCTTTCAAACTTAAACAATCTGTTTGAAATTGTTCATGTCGATGCGCTTCAGTTAATAAAAATAAATGAAGATAGAGTTTTCTTGCAGCGCCAAAGAGAACCAGGTCGGCCTGGTCACTTAGCCGGAGTGGACAAAAAATTAACAGAAAAAGAAGAAAAGACGCGCCTTAGAAACATTGAGGAGGAAAAGCGCCGTGCTAAATATCTTTCATCATTAGCACCATCAACATCATCTTATGAACATCCACAAAGAAAATCATCTTCTGGTTCTGAAATAACAGTTTTACAAGAAAATAGATCCAGCTCAAGTGGTATGTCCTCCAAACCAGATAAAATTTGTATAAAAATTTCATGACTCCGAAGTTAGTTGCCGCACTTGATCGGTGTCAGTTAAGTGTGAGAGATTCTGTATTTATTATTGAAGCTACTATTGAGGCACTAGGGCATAATACGGATGAATTTCCTATAAGCAAGTCCTCAATCCATAGAATTCGTACAGAAATGCGAAGAAAGCGGGCTAACGCTATAAAAATTAATTTCAGAAACAAGGTCCCGGATACGGTAACTGTCCACTGGGATGGCAAACTATTGCCGGCTTTAGATGCACGTAAATCTAAAGAAGAACGTCTACCGATAGTTATATCATATGATAATAATGAACAACTTATCGCTGTGCCAAAATTGGTTAATTCATCTTGAAGCGAACAGGCACAGGCAGTTTGGAATGCCATTATCGACTGGAATCTTGAAGACAGAGTGCAGATTCTCTGTTGTGATACTACTGCTTCAAATACAGGCCATATTAATGGTGCATGTGTGCTTCTTGAACAAAAACTGGGTAGAGAAATGCTTGTTTTTGCATGCCGTCACCATGTCTACGAATTGGTTTTAAAAAGTGTGTTTGAAGTGAAAATCAGTCAAGTAACTACAAGCCCAGACATTCCGCTGTTTAAAAAGTTCCGAGAAAACTGGAAGAATGTCGATGCCCAGAAAATAGAAATCTGTAGAGAAAAACTATCTTGTTTAAATGATTCAGAAATTAATAAACTGATAGAATTCTACCGATCTGAATTGATAAAAGAAATAGCTAGAGACGACTATCGCGAATTAATTGAGCTATCAATTATATTTCTCGGTGGAGACACAGAGAAGAAATTTAAGATTCGGCCTCCAGGTGCTATGCACCAAGCTCGATGGATGGCGAGAGCCATTTATTCATTAAAAATATCATTACTGAGCTCCCAGTTCAACATTTCAAATAGGGATAAAGCAGCACTGTTGGACGTATGTTTGTTTATCGTGACATCCTACGTCAAGCCCTGGCTCCAATGCATTTTAGCAGTAAAAGCACCACATCAGGATTTGTGCTTTTTGAAGTCGATGAAAGCTTACGAATCAATAGACAAAAGCATTTCTAAAGCAGCTTTGCAGAAGTTTTGCCAGCATTTATGGTACTTGACAGATGAAGCGTCTGTTTTGTCTTTATTTGACGATGAAGTCGATCAAGAAACGAAAGTTAAAATGGTTGCTAACTTAGCTAAAGAAAACCCATCAGCCCATATTAAACGATACATTGCATCTAAAGAAGAACTTTGTGGCCCACTTTATGGTATGTCTTATTTGTAAATTATGCTTTAATTTTCTTCTATGATTAATAGTAATATTGTTAATATAAAAATAATACAATATGATCGATCAGGGGCGGCTTAACCTATAGTGCAGGGTGTGCAATGTACACGGGTGCCGCGCGTTGGGTGGCGCCGCGCCGATGATGGTTTCTAATATAAATATGTGTAAAAAGTGGGCTGGGGGGTGCCAGAGCACTACTTGCACCCGGGCGCCTGTCGTGCTTAAGACGAGCCTGAATATGATTATTAACCGTTCATTCTATTTTGATTTCAGAGAAAAGCATCGATGACTTCATCTCTGTCAAAAGCAAGTTCTTATTTAATCGATTCAAAATTGATGATAGTTTCCTGAATAAAAACCCTTCTTCTTGGTCAAATGATGATTCGTTCCAACAAGCTAAAAAGAAGCTGCTGACACTGAGAGCAGTTAATGATACGGCAGAAAGAGCAATTAAATTAATGCAAGATTTTCATGGTTTAATCACTGTTGAAGAGGAGCAAAACCAATTTTTATTACGTTGCGTACAAGAACACAGAAACATATATCCTGACTGTAAAAAGCTAACTTTGAAAAAAAAACTTTAATGGTTAATGCTTCTTTTACTACAAATAAACATTAAATACTATATTTGTGTTTATTTTACTGAAATAAACAATAAACTCTACAATCTCCTTATAGCTTCCATACTAATTTTTAAACTAAAAACTTTGACGTCAAGTCGGCACGGGTTATTGTTGTCCGATCGCAATAATATTTTATATTTAAGTTTTTGGAGTCAAATGGAAAAAAAATAGAGGGTATGCGTTCCGAAATTCGAAAAAAAAAATTACCCCTTGCTAATATTTCGCTATCAATTTGTCTGTCACCAGACAGTGAAATTGAATTTCACAGATGATATATTTGTGTTGCTGCTGCAACAACCAGAAAAAACAGAATAAAACAATTACGATATTTATGGGGGGCCCTCATACAACCAACGTGACATTTCTGCTCGTTTCCGTTACGGAACGTGCACGAGTCCAATTCGCCCTTGGCCGGTTTTTCTTCACCTCACTATTTTTCCTGGCTGGCTTTTTTACCCGCTGCCGCTACCGCCTCGTTCTCCGCTGTTTACCATTCATAGCCTAATATTTAAAGCCGCAAATGGTGAAAACGAAACTGCTGGGATTGACCAGCAGTCCATATGAGATGTTGCATCGTTAAAACAAACAGTTAGTTGTGGAACTGGTGACGACTGCAGTGCACAGGGAATGTTGTAATTGACAGCTTCTTCCAATAAGGCAACTAGACTTAATAAGTGCATAAACTTTTTTAATAGTTAAACGGATTAGGTCAATATGAAGTTCGTTTTTGTATGAAATTTATTAAACTATGGAGTTAACAACTTTTTGGCATTGTACCTTCCTAGGACAGTTATTATACAATAGATTAAGCGCTTTAACGGTGCGTCGCACCATCGTTTATTTCGTCCTTGGTTTCCGCATACAAACTTTTTGTCTTTGATCTTTAATATCACTTATTTTTAATAGTCACTTTTCGTAATTTGAAATTTTTGAGTATTCCAATACGCTCTTTATGAATGCGAAATTCTGGTTCTTGAAAATTCGTCTAGCTAGAAACATTATACATACTTAATTTAATTCTATAATAATTTATTGTAAAAAGTGTTAAAATGTATTAATTATTTAATTATACTCACGAGTTTGAACTCAACAAAAATGTAATAAAGTTAAATTACTCATCAAATCCAAAGAAAAGGTTATTTTTTGTCACCATTACCAAGTTCTCAGGCTTAATCAGCCTTTTATTCATTTGCTTAAGTATCGAACTCGTCTTAACGCTATAACGCACGTTTACTTATTAAATTTTAGAAATTGTAAGTTAAAAATTAAAGAAACCTCGCTAAAAATAGTCAACCTTCATTATGTTTAACTTATGGCTTGTTATATGAAGCCCGTTATTATTTATAGTTCAGTGTATGACGAAGATTAGTTGTTAAATATTCAGTTTACCTAGATTATTGATAAATTAAAAGATAACAAGGCTAGAGGCTAGAAAACATGCGTTTTATTTTCTATGTTTTCGTATGGATCATCATTATAGAAGAGAGAAGAAAGCTTTAAGTATTACCTATATTATTTAAAAAAAAACCAGTTATATTATTTGTTTTTAAGTTAGTTATAGGTTAAGGGTTATAATTTATAGGTGAAACTAAGTTTTTTCTTCCGATTTCGCCCGCGTAATCACCTGCGTATGTATCTTCCTGAAGGTGTTTCCGAACATCAACCCCTACAAACAAACAAACAATGCTTGAAACTTTACCTGTTTATAATATTAGTAAAGATTTGATAGTTTTATAGAATTTAACGTGCTATTGTTTACTGTAAATTTAACAAGCCTAGTCGATGTGCGTGGCATGTACATATATTTTTTGGAATGATCTCAATCATAATGTTCCCAATACTATAGTTAAAGTATTCCATAATATATATGGAATAGAATAGGAAGAGCGGACCATAAATTAACACGCGAGCTCATTGTGGACTTGACGGGTTAATGTGCTTTTTTAAGGACGTAATGGCCCAGTTACAGTGATCGGTGATATCCGCGTGAGATATCTGTTCTTCGTTTTCATTGGTTCAATATTTTGTTGACCAATGAGATGAGCGCACAAAGGTCCCTCGTACTGCCCAAACTGACCCCTTCAACCATTGTAACTGAGCCATAAATTCAAATTCAAAATTCATTTATTTTAACACAGATACAGGACACAGGTACATTGGCGTGTGATTGACAAAAAAATGGCGTGTGCGTGTGCTTGCGCGTGTGCGTGTGCTTGCGCGTGTGCGTGTGCATGTGCGTGGGCGTGTGTGATAATGTATAAGAGTGTGAGATAATAAATTTTTAGTTACCTATTTTATGAGCCCACCCCTTGCCATTTATTTATGTACCTATTTTCCTTCTTGACTTTCTTTAGCTTTCCAATTTTGACGGAGAATCCAACCCGTGATCTCAGAACTAGAGACACCTATCGGTGTGTGAGCCATTCAGCTACGTATATTGAGAACTAGTTACCAATCATGCGCAACAGTAAATTAATTACAATTATCATGCTTTGAGTCCATTTTTTCTCTCAATGTAACCTAGTTTGAAACAGTTTATAATTAAGCAAACATTTACAATTTACAGCTGCTAATTAGTATTTTAGTATTGCGTAAATCAGTGGCAGTTTTGTTGAAACTTATTAGCTAAGTATTTAGTGCTTGTTAAAATCGTGTAAAATAGAACATTTACATTTTATAATAGCAATAATAAATTAATTATACATCAGATAATTAATACATATAAAACAAAAACTTATTTATGATATGCAACACAATTGGTCTAAAATATACTAATATTATAAAGAGCAAACATTTGATTCATTATTTGCATACAATAGGCTCCAAAACTACTGGTCCGTTTTATTTTTTATTCTTTGATTTACGGGAAGCTATACTGAGCGCTTAGTGTAAGGTTTTTTGACGTTTACGTTCACTTACGATCGTGAGCGCGTTAAGATTTTAGTATGGAATCCGGTACAGCGCCCCTAGCGGTAACTACCAAGTACTACAAATCTCTATACAAATTCTTAACGCGCTCACTAGTGAACGCGTTAGCGTAAAACTTACACTTACCACTCTGTACGCGGGTTAACCACTGTTGCTTCTCGTTACAGTTTTTTATTGTTTTAATTGATAAATAAGAGAATCACTCTGTAGTTGCTTTTATGTGACAAAGTATTAATCGAAATAGTTTGCGAGTAATTTATTAAAACAGCTTTTAAAACGCATTTCACTATCGTTTGTCCCTTTCTGCCTTATTTCCGAGCGCAATAAGATAGAGATAGTATTTGTTGTAAGCTTCTTTTTAACAGGAACTAAGTGGTCAATTTTTCATTATCGCTGATATAGACCTGAAATATAATAGCGACAAACAAAATATAGCCCACAATTACTATAAATTGCGTCTCTATACAAATTGAGGTGATTATTTTTTAATATCTTCTGATTATTAAAGTAATAAAAATA